AAGAGACTTAGGGAGTGTGAGAACTGGAGGAGTGATACACCAGGTGGTCCAAGTCCCTGGTGTAATGATGAGGCTATGGAACATGGGGTTGCTGAATGATTTATTTAGGTTACATGGTCACCAGGAGAGGAAGAGAGGTTGGGATAGAGGAAACTTACTTTCAAGCCATTAAATTTTCAAAAAGTAGTAGATATTACTAAGCACTTGAAAACACGTCAACCAAAGTATGACCCACTATCGAGAATAAAGTCATCCTAGCCATGGAAGAGACTTGGGGTTATCCTGGTCCATCTCCCTCCTAATGCAAGAATTTATTGGTGACATTCTTGGCTGGTGGCTACTCATCCTGGCTTTGCTCCAGGAACAGAGAACTCAGTACTTTCTAAGACACAACTTTTTTTGACTTTGCATATCTCTACATACTAAAAGAATATTTCGGCAAAGGTCAAATTTGAAACATTGACCCACATGATTAAGAGTGGTCAGAGGTCAGTGGCTTGATATTGGTGATGGTGAATTTTACTTTTGCTCTTCTTAAAATGAAGACAATAATGCCCATCTTGTAGGGTCATCATGAAGATTAGAGATATGGTTTATAAGGAATCTACTGTAGTGTCTGCTTCTAAAAGATACTCAAGTTGTTGTTATGATTGACTTCTTAGCATCTGATTTCATGTTTTGAAATTATTTATGGAGTAATGTAGACTGTGTCTAATCCTGCAAATATCTGAAGGTATTTAGCACGACCCTCTAAATCTTCCCCTCATCAGACTAAATTTTTCCTGATTTTTCGGCCATTTTTTTCCGCAATGCATTTTGGATGCATTCATTACTCATGTTCCCTCCTATTTGTCAATTTTCCCCTAAAATGTGGTGGCCAAATGTGGTCAGGTCAATGTACCCTACAGTGGAATAATTACTCCCCTGATCAGGACGTTTCACTTCTAAAACAACCTAGATTTATGTTAGCATTTTTGGAGGCCAGATCACACAGTTGGCTCAAGAAAACCTGATTCTGCTTTCCAGAACACTAGCGTGTCTCCCAACTTTGTGTCAACTGCAGATTTGACAAGCACGATTTTTACATCTTCATCCAAACTGTTGATAAAGATGTCGAACGAGAAAAGGCCAAAAGCCAAGCTTCAAGGCACACTTCTGATCCTTGTCTGCGTGCTGACTTCCACCCAGTGTCAACCATTGGGTGATGTTTTTCAGCAGTTTCAAATCTACCCACCTGCACTATAAAAATTAATTCAGCAAGATTACTAGCTCCTTCTGTTTCTGAAATTGGATATTTAATTTATCTGGAAGTAAAATGCTATTCTTTTATCAATAAAGACAGGTTTTAAAGCTATAATTGGGACAATGCGAACTTGGAAAATAATTTCATTTTTGAGTTACTATGTAATGCTTAAAGAGAAAAGCCACCTTCTCTAAATGTGAAATCATAATGCTTTTGCCAGATTGTTTATTTTTACAAAATGTTTTGAAATCAGTCTTTGGGTCTGAGGGAGGAAGGCTAGAGTCCGTAGATTTTATGTGTGTACTCGGGGTGGACTGTCAAAAGGTGAGAATTTTACTTTCAGGAAGCATTCTTGCATCTTGGTAGGGAATCTGAGACAGGTTTCTTTAAACTGTTGCTAGAGGGAGAATGCAAAATTTCTTCTTAGATAATAATTATTTTCTCTTTAATGATTTCAGAAAAGATTCTCAAGAAACTTTGAATTCTTGGGCTGAGGTTTTTTCCTTCCTCTATTAAATAAGCTATACTTTCACAAACCAAACCAAGTTCTTGTGGTACAGTATAAGTTTAATTTTCTTTGTTTTTTATGGTTGGATGTAAAGAAGGCTGCTGATCATTTGTGACAGAGTGAAGTTCATCACTTAGTATCTTCCTTCGGGGTTCACTGAGGTGTTTTCAAAGGCTTTCCTTGGAGTTTTTATCTTAGTCTTGATCTCCTTTAGTTCTCCTGTCGGTACTTGAACAAGTTCTTTAATGTCAAAAACTATTACCTCAGCATACTTTCAGTTTCCAAGGTGAGCATACAGGATGTTCACCTTGTAGCACTCTCAGAAGTTGACCAGTGAGTAAAAATGTAATTGTCAACAACCTGAATATTCTAGAAATGCTGTCTTGTACGTCATTGATTCCTTCTGTATTTACTGGGCACCTGTGATTTGGTGATGGAGTCACAGTACAGAGTAAAATCAGATTTGGTTTCTCCTCTCATGGTGGTTACAAAAGAGGGGAGAAATGGCTATTATTCACAATATCAAACACAGCTATAACCTCATGAACATTCCCATGAAGGAAAAGGAAACAGTTTCCATCACTAGGAAGTCATGGAAAGCTTTCCATGGGGTGGCTGTCTGAGAGTTGAAGGTAGTCAGAACGAATGCACTAATGTCAGAAAACAGCCATGTTACAAGGCTTGGTGCTGACATGAAGCAAGATCAGAACTGCAGAAAGGTGGGCGTTGTTGCAGAGAACCAGAGTGAACATAACATGAAATGAGCTGGGTGAGCAAGGGTCCCACGGCAGCTGGGAGGTCACAAGTATGCTGTGATCAGCTTTCAAAGCAGAGAAGCTGTGCAGTGGCTCAGGGTGGAGGTGCATAGTGGGCACTGTCACTGATTATGCACTTATTTATATTTTTGTATTTTTGTATTTTTTGTGAATTTCACAAAATACATTTTGATCATATTTAGATACCCTTCCATATCTCTTCACCTCCCATTCTAACTCCTTCCCCAAATTAGATGGTAGATGATAGATAGATGCTAGATAGATAGATAGATGCTAGATAGATAGATGCTAGATAGATAGATAGATAGATAGATAGATAGATAGATAGATAGACAGAGTTAGGTTTGTGTCCCCAAATGCTCTTCAGTATGAGTTCATCCACTAGAGACTAGAGTCTGGTCAACCTACTAAGAGTCTTATCCTTAAATGACACTGAATCTCCCCTTCCCAGCAGTCATCAGTTGTCTGTAGTTCCTCAGATAAGGTTGAGGTTTCTTACTCACTTCCCCCTAGTCTATGTTGGGAATTTGTCTGGTTTGAGCTTCTATGAAACTTGCCCATGTTGTCAACAGCTTTATTGATACACAAAGAAAATGCCATACATTAGAAATAATTATAAAAAGATTGTCATTAATTCTTCTAGGCTTTGGACCTATTATTGATAATTTACATGATTGTAAGTAAGATATAAAATTTTCAAGGGTCTTTGAGGAGCTAACAATGCAAAAGATACTCTAAAATATTTATCTGAGCCAGACTTCACTAAGACCTGGAAACGTAAGTTTGTAAAGGTTCACTTTCAAAGGGGGGAACACATGATCTTTAATTTTGTTGTTATTTTAGTGGCTCTTGAAGCCTTTAGATCCTATAAAGCACTAAGGTAAGCCCCTGCCTGCACTGCCACCTGACCCAGTCACCATTTCTTTCCATTGCCCTTAGACTAGCCACAGAATTTTCTCATGTCAGGAAAGCTTTCCAGGATAGAAGAGGAGCCTTCTGGCCATGTGTATATTTAAACCTTTGGGATCCCGTGACAACACAGTTAACTCTCAGTCTAAGCCAGGTGCCCATTTTTCATCTGGACTCCTGACAAACTGTGTGGTCAGGGTTCAGAAATCAGAAACCTGGAAAAGGTGCCATGTGATGGAGGCAACCACCCCCACTACCTTATATGTTATCACCATCATTTAACACATAGCACAGGAAATCCTGTTCTTTGCAGAAGAAATTCAAAGGAACGCTTGGTGATCTCCTGGGTAACATTTACTTTTTTCCTTGCTAACACCAAAGTGCAGACAGATATATATATTTTTTCCTCAAGTGAATTGCTAATGACACTCAATTTCTTTCCTACCATCTTCAGTCTAATTGTCCAACTGATCTCTGGAAGTCCCTTACCATTCTAAGGCACAAGGACTGTTCCTACCTGTGCAGGGCCTCCTGGGCCCCACCTTTTACCTGTTTGGTCATGTGCTTTCTCTTCCTTTACTGGGCTCTGATTTTGTCACATTTCAGCCCCAATGCTGTGATCAATCCTCTTCCACCTGAGTGTGCACTCCATCTTGTGCCTACTGACAAGACAACTGACTGACAACTATTCCTTTTCTACAAAGTGCTATTATTTAAATCAAATTTTTAAACTTATTTCTGAATTTTAAACAATGCAGCGTCCATTTGAGTCATCAGAAATAAATATGTGGTAGTAGCCCTCTGTGATAAATATGTAACAGTGGCCCTCAGTTACTTCTCTAGTTTATTCATGCATTGTGTGGTTATTGATGGTCCAGACACTGTGGGATAGAGTCTACACCACAAGTCTACAGGCTAGAGGAAAAGATAATTGTTCTGTGTTCCATTATTCTACACAGTTGTCAGAGGTTGATTTTGTGAAAACACAAATATTGTAAGTGTTGCTCTAGTCACTGGATCCCTGTCACCCCTATTTGATCTACTCAAAGCACCCATCTCCATTCTATAAGTTGCTCAGTCCCCAAATTATGATCTAGGAAAGTATTCATTTCCTGGAAAAACATTTGTGGTTGATTACTCTTGTAGTACTGAGAGAAAGGAAATAAACTGGGTATGACTATGATTCAAAGCAGAATGAGGAACTAAATTCACTAGATCACAGTACTGTGTGCTAACCATTTTCTAGTACAGTGTGCATCACCCAGTCAGAGAAGATGTACCCTAACCTTCTCCCCTCCAAGCATGAGAGCCTTCCAGAGATGGCTGGTGGCAGAGTGATCAGCAAATGAAAAGGCGTTTCCCTCTGTGCTTGGCTTTGTGGATAGAGTAGTCATGATTTACCTCCTTGTAGCTGTTGTTATGACAAGACAAATGGACCCAAGTCTTGCCTGAAGCTGTCAATTTCGTTGACATGACCAGTTTTCCAGTTTTGGCCTTGGAGGGCTGGAGAGTGGAATGAAACATGGACTCCTTCTGACCATTCTCCTCTGTTTTCTCTGGGCAGAATATCTCCATGCATAATACAGTTGGTGGGGCTATGACAGGGCCTGGAGCTCACCAGCTGGGCAGCACTCGAATGCCCAACCACGACACCAGTGTTGTGATTCAGCAAGCCATGCCTTCGCCCCAGTCCAGCTCAGTCATCACACAGGCTCCTTCCACCAACCGCCAGATCGGGTAAGGAGACTTCCTCACTGTCTCTGGGTGCGGTGGGAGCTCAGAAACCCTTTTGAGATTTTTCTTCTTGCTTCTGGTGTTTGTATTTCTTGTTTTTCCTGCCTGATATGATGTTGCCAAGAGATCAGAGAGACCTTTGATGAGAGAAAGGAGAGGGGGTCTCCATTTGATGGGAGCTGTTGTAATTCTGGGTGTTAAGGGGGAAACAAGTCATTCTGTGTCTTCGTTTCTTCAAATGGGATTTGCAAACTTGACAATGACTGTAGCTCATTGCAAACTTGACAATGACTGTAGGTCAATGACTATAGGTAAATATGTGGGTGTTATGCAGATCACAGGAGAGTGCTCAAGACAAATGCCTGGTGACAGCAGAGAGAAATTCTGCCAGTCCAGGCCCCTCTCTGCAGTGTATGTACCTTCCCAGGAACTGCTCAGGGGTTCAGCTGGGCCACCTGTGCCTCCCATAGTCCTTCCCTCTAGTCCCTCTTCCCTTCTCCTCTTTGTTGTTCCATCCTTGCCAGCTCTTCCTGGCCTCTGCATTGGTCCATACTTATTCATATAGAGCATACACATAGAGCAGACAGAACAAAGGAAGCAGATTCTTTCCCTCTTATTTATGGACAAAAGACAACACTGAGGTGTTGCAGGAAAAGTGGTAGAAGCATCTTGATACCTGTATCATGTGATGGAAATTGCTCTCACTTCTTATTATGGGAATGGTCCAGCCCCTTGCTGTGCAGAACATGGCCTGACCATCAGCAATGTCCACATCACCCAGCAGCTTCTTAGAAATGCAAAATCCCCAGCCCTACTCCCTTGTCTCCAGAATGAGGATGGAGTGAGTATGTTCTTTCCAGCCTCAAATGAGTCAAGATGAAATGAAAGAGGTAGGAACACGTGGGTTCTCAGGAACAAAAGGCACCAGCTTAATAAGTGCTCACTACTGGATGCTGACAAAGGCTGCCCTGTGTTCCCAGGATGGTCTGCTGGAAATATGAAGGGAAACCTGCTGGCTTTGGTGCAAGCAGATTTCAATTGAATTTTCAGGTGACTACTGCATGTGGTGATTTAAAAAAAAAAATTAGGCTCTCCCTCATAATTTGTCACTATGTCCTTCTCCCCTTGTTAATGTTTTAAGAATTCCAGACCGATGGTGAGCACAGGAGGCTGCTTTGGCTTACTTTTCCTTTAGTGCTATAGAAAGGGGAAGTGGCTCAGATTTTGCAGTTTATCAGAACGGCACCTGCAGAACTGATAGGTGTAGGTAACAGGTCTCCTGTGACTTTGTCTTTGGTATATTTGGTAGCCCGTTCAAAACACAGACATGAAACTTGGACATTGGGATGCTTGCCTTGTTTAAAGAAGTCAGTGTTACCATAGCAAGTACTTCTGGTAATGAGTTCTTCTCAAGGAACCCTGAGAGCAAGCGTTGCCACTATCTGTAAAGTAGGAATCTACTGTGTTCCAGGAGGGTGGGGTGGATTCATTAAAAGCAGATCTAAAGCTCAAGGGACCCCCTCACTCTTGGGGCTTGGCTATGGCCACAGAATTCACAGCTAGGCCAGCTAATTATAATTATTTTATTTTTCTTTCAAGGGGGGAAAAAACATAAAATGTGCTAGAGTTTACTAGCAGTTTTACAACATTCCTTCCCCCCTGCAGCTCCCTGCCTGCCCTTTCTACCCTCACCCACAACACTCTCTGAGGCTTGTAGTGTTCACCATTGTTAATACAGCACTGGCTTTTATGAAACAATCTTTTCAGGGCTAGCACTAAATTTTAAGATGGGTGTTACTCTGCCAATGATTTACCCAGCTGGCTCTGGACCGTACACTCGGGTGACATTTGTGGGCTGTGTCACTCTGCCATTCATTCCGTATTGTGGGGTGTTGTGTGTCTCTCCTGGTGCGCTCTAGGAGATAATTGCTACTTTTAGGACTCTGTCTCCTTGCCCAGCTTGAAGGAGGCTATTTCTTTTCTACAGATTCTTCCCTGTTGTGCTACTCTGTTGATTCAAACCCCCACATCCTGTCATTTCCTTGTTTCTCCCTGTCATCCATCCCAAACCTTGCCCGGATGGTCTTGGGGTTCAGCAAGATGCAGCTCTGCCCCTCTCACGAGTGGATTCAGTGTGGAACTCTAGGTGGTAACACTTGGGGATGGTTGGCTCTTTTATTTCCCTCAGCAAAGAGGAAATGAGTACTTATTTTAAAACATGAGTTCCCTCTAGAGACCATGTCTTTAAATGAGCATTTGAAATTGCAGATAGCCTTTTAAAAAATTCTAATTGTGTGTGTGTGTGTGTGTATGTGTGTGTGCATGCATGTATGTGTATGTGCATGTGTGTGTATGCGTGCTCACATGCACACATAGAACCATATTGTAGTAATATTCTGATTTTTATCACAACCTCAAATATTTAAGTGTCAAAATCTGGCCAAGCCACCTGCAAATGTTTGCCATGGCTACTGGCCAACGAAAACAGCACACAGCAATGAAAGTCTTCATTCAGGCTCAGCGCTTAGGCTGCATCCAGCCCGAGGCTGGGACCCACCTGTGCCCACGCATAGTGCGTTCACGACTGGAGCTTTGTGAGCGACAGGACTGCCTGACGCCTCTCCCCTCTTTCCTTCCCCTCTACCAGGACTTGGCTTCGGCAGCCAACCCACATTTGTGCTCCTTTTTCCTTTCATGCTGTAAAACTTAAGCTTAGGGGCTTGATGTGAAGGACTGCAAAATGGAGGTAGTGCCAGTTATCAGGGAAGACTTTCAGGACAGAAAGCAAGTGTCCTTGTAGGCATCTAACTTTTCTACCTTTTGGACAGACACTGAAACAGAACAGACCGACATGAATGGGAATATAAAAACCCAAAGAAATACTGTTGAGTAAGTAGACAAACAACAGATGCAGCTTCTAGTCCATGCCCCAGGACCCCTGTTATGCCCTATGCTCAATTCTGTAAAAGTAGTGCTATTATCTCTTAAACTGGAGGTAAGTATAAATATCCCAAATTGCACTTGTGTGGTTAGGCAGGCTAGAAAAACACACTGCTCTAGAGAGTGTGGGAGGCATCCCCTAAAACGGTGACTGCTTGTGTTCCATCAAACTGGCAGATGCTCTGTCAGGAAGAGTGTCTTTGGCTGATTGATGGGGGTGTTTTAAGAGATAAGTTTCCCAGATGGGGAAAAAAAAGTGAGCCATGGACTGTGGAGAGACAAGAAAGACAGAAAACAAGCATGTGTTAAATAGAGATGAAATCGATTCAGCCTTGAACCAACTAAGTGGAACATTCCACAGTATCTCTACTCCAGTCATTTTTATTAGATATCATGTAACAAGCTCATTAATTCAGGACCAAGTCAGAAAAGTCTGGGAAACGTGGTAGATGAACAGGTAATGTCAGTGTAAACTCTCTCTCTCTCTTTCTCTCTCTCTCTCTCTCTCTCTCTCTCTCTCTCTCTCTCTCTTTCTCTCCCCCCTCCCTCTCCCTCTCTCTCAATCTCTCATGACATCACATGAGGCATTTCTAGAGGACCCAATGATTAGTTGAGTAGATAGATGGTTATAGCCTCAGTAGATCCTGGGTTTCTTAATGAAGTCTGAGTGACAGTAGATGATCTGTGCTCAGGAATTCTTCAGTAGAGCGGTGGAGTTAGCATGGAGTGTAACTCTGCAACAAGGGGCAACAGTAGACCATTCTGACAGGTTGTGGGAGACACTGCTGAAGTACTCTACAGATTTTCTTTTTCCTTTTAATTCTCTGTAAGAATTGGGCAAAATATGCACTCCTTAGATAGTATTGCTTACAGTAAAATTATTACACATCTAACATCAGAATATTCAAATGTGGAATATTTTGGTTATGTTAATGAATTAGCCAGTTGTACTAGGAAACCTGGAAATAAGTCTCCAGTGCATATATATATGAAGCTATTTATGTGGGGCCCCCTCCCTGATTTTACTCCAGTTCAGGTCTCTGGGGTACAAATGTCTACATGATATGTAACTATAGGGTATTTGGTCATAAAGCCTATTTGCATGGGGCTGTAGACAGGCAGGTCTGATTCTACACATAAATTATACAGGACATAGTTGAAATAAACCTTGTTCTATATAAAAATAAAAAAGGTGCTGTTGGCATAAATTCTGCCTCCTCTTACCCTGTCTTTGCATCTTTGCCAATATCTTTTTCTTTGCAATCCCTGATACTTTGTGTCACAGAGAATACCCAGTGATAGCCTCAGGGACATACCAAAGAAAACAAACAAACAAACAAACAAACAGATAGACAAAAGTAAAAATCGGATGGAAAACTTAGGTGTCAAAACTGCTACCTTTCCAGTTGAGGATAACCAGGAGCGTTTGCAGTGTGAATTGGTTTTGTCAGCCAGCACGGCTAGGGAGGGAACGCTGACAGAGTTGAGGGTTCCTGTCGTTGTTGCTCTGGAAAAAATAGAAGAGAGGTTGGTAAATGATGCATTCAGAGAAAGGAAGTTTAAAAGTCTAAATAACATGGCTGCTTACAGTTTAAGTATATGCTTGCAAATGCCTACATGTTTGATCCCATTTTTCAGAGTTTTCTTAAATGCTTCAGCCAAACTGCACCTGCCTGTGACTGTCACTGTCCACCATGGGCTAACACTGGAGACATACTGGTCAGCTCTTTCCTGCTGGAGACAGGGCAGATATCAGGTTATCCTTGTTCCTTAACCCTCAGCCAGGACAACCTGAAGCTTCTTTGAGTAATTCAGACCAGAAACCATTGTTTCCTGCTTTGTGTTTTGCTGAATATCACGGCTATGAACATAGCTTTATTGTTTAAAAGTTGCTGGATTTTTCACAGCCCCATGAACATTTATGAGGGCCCTTCAGGGGGATGCTTTCTGGGAGGGTTGACAGACTTAACCATATGGCTCCCGTTAAATCCCATGCAGAGTTTTGAGAAATTACCTCTGACAAGGGGGCCAGCAGCCTTCCACTCACAGGATTTTATGTGTGG